AGAGAGAGAGAGAGAGAGAGAGAGCTGACAAGAACTCTTATACAAGATAATAATATATATGAAATTTTAATTAAATTTTTAATTTATTTCAGAAATTTCAAAAAAGGGGTTTTTGTAATAATTATATGTAATATTTTGCTGACAATCAAAACGTTTTATACAATGTATTCATACGGTATCACAACTGAATCAATGAACAGCACAATGATTATTCCTAATAATCCGTTCTCAATGAAAATGTTTGCATAATTAACATTAAGATTGTTTTATATGATAAAATATTGGATATAAATCTAGTAAAGTCTTTATATGTCACTAGGGTAGAAAAAACAACAATGGGCTTATTTCACGTCAAGCCATTAACCTATGGCGCGGCGTATCTCAACGGGCTAATATTAGCATGTTTAGTTGACCATGGTTATTCGGCAAAAATATATCAAAGTGGATTAGCGTGTAAAACGTGTCTAACCTTAAGCCTTGTTGTGGCAATAAATACCATAATCGGATACCACAGGGGAACTGAACTGTTGGGTGCGCTCCCGGTGTTCAGCGCGTGGGAGAAGTGTTCAACAGACTTATGTTTTGCATTGCTGTCGTGTTATGCCGTTATATACGCGCGCGAAAGTGGGGGCCGTTTAACACGTTTCCTGTCGACCCGGTATTGGCGGCCAATACGGGCCGCACAACAGACCACATACCTGTTTCACGCGCCGATTATATTGGCAATTATTGGGGCCTATTTGCCCGAAATATACACTATTACCACAATTATGGTAGCAACCATATTTATTGCAACTTATATTGTGACAATTCCGTTGGCCCTCGTATTTGATTTACCGTCTACTAAATTGTTACAACTTATATCGAAATATCTATTTGAGTCACGTTTGGTCCATAAGATTGAGTCGAAATTAAAATAATCAAACTTGTTCAATATTGATTTTAATGTTTGTGCTTAATTATTTATTAATAATGCTTTAATATCCGTAAATAGATTTTACTATTAATAATATACATGACGTAAAGTATGATACTTCGCATAATAAGATAAATATTGTTATAATAACTGCATATAAATAATGATAAAATATAAAATATAGTATTTCTAAATTAAAGCTATAATATTTACGGGAAAATTTATTTTCAAATTTTGTGTTAATATTAATTTTTAAATAAAACATTTCAGACCAATGGTTCATGAGATCCGCTTCACGTATACTCCATAAACTGTAATAAAGAAAACAATATTTACATTAATTAATATTAAATTAAGTTAGTAAAACATATTATATATACAGTCTATTAATTGGTATTAAATACGGCGAATTTTTTTGTAAACCAATTGATGTTAAAAACGTTGTAAAATACTGACCATGGTTATTTGATAAATAATGATTAGTGATATTGTTGGCTAATAACATATATTTCAAAGTTTCACTACTGTAAACAACAGAATATTTATTAGTTTTTTGTTGCAATGTACTTATTAGATAGTTTTTGTCTCCTTGTATATAATTAAAAAATTGTTTTTCTGTTTGCGAATTGATTTTATCCTGGTCAAATAAATGTAATATATTAGTCTATTACTGAATAATTAATATAATATTATTAAAAATATTTAAAACCGTGTATTACATACCAACATAAATTTAATGATACTATTCTTGTCTAGCACAAGTTTATGACAGTTATTAGCTTGGCTGTATATCAATTGATCCATTGTTTCAATCCTATGCTTCACAGGAACTGTGATTAACGAATATATTGCACCCGAATATGAAGCGTGCAACACAATCATTATCATAATCCATGGAATATAAACTAGATTATTTGGATGTTTACATATAATTTTATGCATGTTTTGCCTAAAATAAATTGTAAATATATTCCACAATAGAATGTATTTAGTATTAGTTCTAAAGATAGTATTGATAGTGAATATTAGGGCAATGAATAGTGTGATTGTGGTTAGGATTGAGAGCCAAATATAACTGTCGAAGGGTTGCAACAAATTGTGGAAATGGGTTGTTCAATGAATAGTGTGATTGTGGTTAGGATAGAGAGCCAAATATAACTGTCGAAGGGTTGCAACAAATTGTGGAAATGGGTTGTCGTCGGCAATGGAGACGTGAATGTCATGTACGTAAAGTCATAGGGTATGGTGTAATCAATGTAATTATATCTATTATCTGTCATTATTAATTTATATATAATATCAGCTTTCTAATTTTAAACAAAAAACAAGTAATATATTATGCATTATATTTTACAAATTAGGTAACTGCACTAATTTACCTTATCAACGAGTTGTCCTACAGTTCCGGTCCATTTGCCGCCAATAGGTTTGATACCATAATCTTGATTACAATATATAATATTATGACTTTTATTTATGTATTTGGCAATTGTGTGAATCAACGGCACATCTCTGCCGCCATTTAATTCATATACATTTTTAAGATGGTTGTATTTTATAAATAGATACGGAGGTAACTAGTTTTAGAAATGAAAATAATCAAGTTTATATTTTAATTAGTTGAATATATTATTAATTACATGATTTATGGCTAAGCGTAGTGTATTTTTGCTATAATTTTGCATTTTGGTCTCGTTGGTAATTATTTTAGTTCAAATAATGATATGTTTTTACATTGATATATTTTCAATGATAATGTTCTATAATAATAATTTTCAAATAATAATTTATTTAATAAAAAGATTATAATTTTCATAAACATAATATCAATCAAAATAAAAGCAACTAAACATTTATAAGATATTGCCATTAATTTTATTGCAAAATATAATACATTAAAAATATAATAATATCAATTAACTTATAAATGTACATTAACCTATTCATGTATTTTTATAATTAGTAAATTTATATTTGTTCAATTTTAATTATTATTCTTATGCAGCATATAAATCAATAATTTTATTAATTCATCTCATTGATTATTATATAGTGGTAATCGATAAATCATAGTCTTTGGTCACATCAAGTGAAGTTATTGAAGTTAATATTTCTATGAAACTTATTTATAACTATAATATTAGTTAATTAACATTCTTAGGCACCAAAAACCGAGGTTAATTAAAATTGAATTGCTACTTTTAATTAATATACTTTACATTTTGCTCAAACAAAAAAAAAATGCACCTAAAAATCGCATACATATAAAACTATAAAATGAATTACGCAAATAAAACAAATAGTATTTAATCGGAAAACACATAAAATTTATTGAAAATATCATTAAAAATTTTATGATTTTCATTTACAATTAGTTCCTAATAATATACATGTAGATACATATGTATAATTGGATACTTATAGGTATGGACACATTCATATCAATTGTTTAAAGGCAATTATAGTGATTCATAAATTATATCTAGTTATCATTAAAAATATTACAAGTTTCACATGAGTCTCTCTCTCTCTCTCTCTCTCTCTCTCT